TGGAAAAAAAAGAGATGAAAGGGGTGGATGAAAAACAGTATTTAATGGACAGGCAGAAAAGAAAGGAAGAGGTGCAGACGGACACAATGGGCGAGAAACAAGATGAAATATTAAGGCGGACACACAGAGTTCTGGGTGTGCCCTACACTGAATAAGTGATGAACCAACCCGGGTTCCTGTGTCTTTGATGTGTGAGCGCCTGTTTGTCTGCTGGAGTCCGCGTCTGAGGTCCCTGGGTCAGTGCAGGGGATTATGGGCCGGATGAGACATGCAAACTGACCCTTTTTATTATCTGCCTTAGTTTGCGCTTCCAGGAGAATCTAAGAAAGGTGTAATAACTCTAGTGCCAATGCCGCCTACTGTCATAACAAAAGGATATTTGCGATAACAGTTGAAACATGACTACGGTTGCATAACCATAACACATATTTCCACACTTCACCACCTACATTTCTTCAATGAAAGGTGCTTTGTATGTTTCACCATAAAGGTTGAGTAAACAACTCTAAAAAGCACAAACAATAAACTGAATATCTCTTCCAATGCAATCTGATTCAAATCAATGAGTACTTCCTGCTGAAAGAGCTTGTTTTTTTGGTTGAGAATGACAAGTCACTCTCTCTCCCTGTAAGGCTATCTTTCTCAAAGCTCTCCCGGTGGAAAGTGAACCTTCCCCTGGGCCATTCTATCTTTAGCGATTTACTTCCGTCATGTCACATCTTGTCACCGGAGCCAGTGGCAGGCCTTCAAGCTGGCATCCACACCTCGCGGCCACCCAATCTCCTGCTCTTTACAAAACAGGAAGAGGCTCTTTGCCCGTTTCCTGTCTGTCACCCCTACAAGCAACCTTCAGAAACGTAATACCAGGTGGCGCGCACACATCTACAGATCCTCAAACAAACAAGCATGCACACACTCGGTTGAACGTATCAGATGAACAACTATATTATGATAAATAAAAAAAAAGGTTTCATCTTCTTCAGAGTTTAATTTGATTAGTTTACATGTTATTCTTGAATACTAATTTGAAAGCACTTAATAGCCTACAATTAATCATTTTTGCATATATATTTTTACATTATACTTATATTAAAAAAAAAACACCTGCCTGTAATTACGTGTAATTGCCTCTAATTGCATCTATTATTACACTATTAACTCACAATAAAACCTAACCGTACCATGAAATCGGTCTCTAACCTTACTCGTATCCCACCTCAATAGCAGACACAATCAGAAAACTGTACCAATTTTTAACTTTTTTGACATCTAATATAAAGTTACAACTAATAACCCATTTATATTGTACAACAGTGAAATAATCATCCTCATGGAGCCACAATGATTATTATGACCATATATAGAGCACAAAAAACCTTTTGTTTAGAATCCCATTTGGATTTGATTTATAGATAAACCACAGAATGACATTTTTACAGAGTGAATGTTACACTTTACATCACACTTACTGAACTTCCTGAACTGTGCTGAATAGCAGCACATTGTTGAATTAAATATTAATGTTGCAGTACAATGTCTACAAAAATGTAAGTATTAAAATAACCAAAATATTTTTTTTAAAGTATAAAATGATTCATAATTTAAAGTAACATTATTAATGTATATAATTAATTGATTGATCTATGTATTATTAATTATTAGATGATATTATAACATATAATGTTTTGGTTAAACAATATTTTTACCATATATATATATATCAAGTATCGCCAACTACCTCACCATGCGATACATCAAGATTCAATATGCAGTGATGCATCACAATATTGTAATTGGACTGTGACTAATTCAATATCTCTTGCACTGTAGGATGTGATATGAATGCTCAAATAAACAGACATATCGATACAAGTAAAAAAAGGTATTATTATAGTAAAATATTATTTAATATGATTTATTTTACCGCTTTTACTGATGTATAAGAGGTGGGAGTGGGATGGGAAAGTGACGTAACTAACTACTGCTAACCACCAGACCCACGAGTGCTTTGACACAGGCTAATACTTGGGTCGTGGTCCGTTCCCTGCTGTTCAGATGCCTCTGGTCTTGCTTATGTTGTCTATGCATAATGCATCAGGGAGTCAACAAGGACCGAGATGCAGAGGAGTTCCACCAATTGAGGACCGCATCACTGCACACACACACACACACACACACACACACACACACACACACACACACACACACACACACACACACACACACACACACACACACACACACACACACACACACACACACACACACACACACACACACACACACACACACACACACACACACACACACACACACACACACACACACACACACAGTCAAGCTGAAAGGACTCCAGAGAGAGTCAGTCAAGAGGAAGTGATGGCAGGAAGCGTCACACAAAAAGGCGCCACGGGTCATACTTCTCTCTGCCGTCCACTTCCTCATGTCTCTGCTCCAATGCACGCAAGGCAGGGAAGCAGAATGAGGAAACTCTGTCGGCCAGATAATGACAGGGTTTCCCTGGAAATGGGCCCTGACAGGTCGGATTCGGGAGGGCATCCTGGACTGAACATTTTTTAAGTGTGAATGGTAAAAGTGAATGTGCGTGCACTATGGCTATTTTCTACTACTCAACTTGTCATCCAGAAGATTAGTTGACTAGTCAGTGGGTTAAACCGGGTGCCATGCAGCTTCAGCAGCCTTTTTTAGTTTCTGGCAAGAGGTAGTTCACCCAGTGTAGTCTGATTCACAAACAAATTAGCCCCATGAGTCGGTTCTTTTAATAACTAGTTCAAAAAGACAAGGTGCCAGTTTGAAAGATTCTGAATCATTGCCCTCTATAATACACAGCATTAGCAGAGAGACAATTCCTGGGTCTTCGGTGGTGGCGGACGAACACAGTCATCAACACACACATTACAAAGTACCTTACCCAGGCCAGTATACTCATAATGCATCCAAAATAAATGCAAAGAAACTATTTGTAATATTAACTTATCCTATTATTCATGAAATAAAAAATAACCACTACATGGTTGTGTAGTGGCAGGTCTATTATTTTGCATTTGCAGTCCAAGATTTAATGCACAGATCATTTGACATACAGTATCAGATTGTTTTGTTCTGTTATTGGTATTGTCACATTAAATGATCAAAATAAATCAAAATAAATCTTTGGCGGGACAAAGATTCATTTTGGAGGCTGCCAAAATATTTTCAAAGCAGGAAAAACCCTGAAATATCTGAAGAACAACTGAAATACACCCAAATGAAACAGAATCAATTCAAACTGAATTAAAATCAAAACTGAATCTAAAGCTTGTAAATCAGAATGGGAAAATTTCTTTCAAATCTTTTCATTACAACTGAAAAACACCCAAATGAAACAGACTCAAAATGAACCGAAACAAGATCTGAATCTTAACCTTGTGAATCAGAATCAAATCCGGATGGGACTCACAAAAACATGGACATTTTCTTTCATATCTTTTCATTACAACTGATAAAGCACTCAAATGAAACCGAATCAAAATGAATTGAAGAACTGAATCTAAAGCTTGTAAATCGAACCAGGATGGGCCTTGCAAAAACCTGAATGTGGTAGGCCTACGTAGACAAATAGCAACACTGGGACGCAGTACAGTAACATCAACTTGCACCATATAGAACAAGTGCAATTAAAGTCACATGATCAACAATGTCAACACATATCCAGTGAGTCTATTGGCATAACGAATCGACTAGTCAACGAGTGTGCAGACGTCCAAGTCGGACACTTGTTTTCTCTACGCACTACAGTGTGTACAGACAAAAGGAACAAATGGAAGAAAGGGAGAGACAGCGAGAGAGAGAGAGAGAGCTAAAGTCACAGTGTGGAGGAGTCTATTATTAGTCTATGGCTCCAGCAGCAAAGTGAGGTCACATCAGAGCCCAGCTTTAGACACGTGTGTGTGCTCGGTGTGTTTTTGCTTTCACGCTCGAGCTACTCTACACAGCCAGAATCAGAGCACTCAAAAAAAAGAGAGAGAGAGAATGAGAGGGGGAGAAAAAGAGACTTCCTGTAAACACGTGAGCGAGGCACCCACGGTCTGTTGTGTGCTGTCTCGCAGCATTTCCTCAATCCGCTTGTAAAGCAGAAAGCACAGCATTTTGCACGGAAGCACGAGGACATTCCCATAATTCGGATCAGAACAAGGCACGCAGTAAATAAGAAAGATTTGGAAAGCTGCTGGCCACACAAACAACACTGGGCTGAATATAATAAACAGTCCAAATTTTTTTTTTTGTGGAAAATCAGCCACATTAATAGCCATCATGTGCATCATATTAACTATCATTATACAGTGGGGTCCAAAAATTTGCCGCAAGACTAAGTGCTTCTATTTTTTTTATATTTATATTAAATATATATATATATATATATATATACACACACACACACATACATACACACACTATTATTATTATTAATATATATTAAAATTACATTTAATAAATAATTAAATATCTAATTTTCATTACAAATTATTGAAATGATTATAAGAATTAGAAAAGCAATGAGTGAAAACTTAGTGAAAAATGTATTTAATATTTTATGACAAATTATAGTATGAGAATAGCAATCCGAGTTCAAATTTAATGTGAAAAATTAGCAGGAATTTACTAGTTTCTTTTGTTTTGTTCTCCTGGTTTCATAACAGAATGCCAGATTTTCAACGTGGTCTCAGATTTTTACACCCCACTGTCATATTTACAAGAGAACAGAAGTGTATGGAGTAGACAAAAGTAAAACCATAATAATGAGGAAAAAAATTAAACTGATAAATATTGATGAGGAGTGATCATTTTTAAAAGGAAAACATGAGGGACAGCAAAAGTGTGGCAGTGACAGTACACTTTTCGATGAGGGCTGACATTAGCTAGCCTATATTTCCCCCTAGTGGTTGGAGTGAAACAGTTCTGACTTCATGAATCAGTTCCTGTCAGAGCTCAGATCTTACCGCTGCGGAGAAAAGAACACGTCCCACTTCAACCACCTGAGGGTCACCAGACTGAGTATCAGCAACAATGGGGTTAATCTAAGGAAATGAAAGAATGAGAGATAATAACTAACCTGAATGCAGTGTGTGCTGGTGTCACAGAGCTAACATATTGACTGCAATGTACTGGATTAATCTACAGTGTTGACGCTGTACTGATCCCAAAGAGAAAACTCAGTACTGTTTGTGAAACACATGGGTATTGTAGTAGCACTTCAGTTGTGGTCACTGACCTCTACTGTGCCATTTTGAGCATAGTGTCGGTGAGGCGATCGAGGGTAAATGTCCATCAGGTGTGGAGGGGGATCTGGAGTGACTCGTTTGCTATGCCTGCTCAACAGCTCTCTGTAGTTCAGTGAATCAAAGTTGGTCTTCCACATTAGAACCTGAAACCCAGACGATCACGAGCATAAGTGACATGATCAGCTCGACGGTAATCGGATAGTAAAACATTAACATTACATCACAATTACCTGAGAGTCAGCACCTCCTGAAGCAAACAGATCTCCATCTCGAGAAAACGTCACAGCCAACACTGGACCCTGAGAGCAGTGGAAAAAAAATGACACTTTATGGATTTTCTTCTAAGGGTAGGCTGTTTAATGCAGGTCTACATCACAAAATACACAAAAATGTTAGGAATAATAAAAAATAATTATTTTATTATTATTAGCTCTTGCCATACAATGACAGTTGATCATGACTATCAAGCTAAAAAGAATTGACAAAAATGAATGAATCAATTAAAGCTCCAGTCCGTAACTTTTTTAAGTTAAAAATAATCCAAAATAATTAGATTTTGAAAAACTTATTCTGCCAGTGGTCAAAACTATCTGCTTGCCATAGCTAGATTCAAAACGGTTAGCTTGTAATAATGATTTTAATTCCAGTGGTACTGGTGGGTTTCCGCGGGAAATTCGAGCATGTCTTTGCGTCATGACGTCACACCCGTACACATAAAGAAGGAGTTTCGGCTAGCCGGCTATACTGCGCGTGACGAGGTGTTTAGATGTATAGGCTTTTCTCGCAGCACTTTACATAATTAAACTTATGGCATCCAGAAAGATCCAAACAACAATCATCAGTGTCAACTGGAGATTCAGCAGTTATAAAACCCAAAAGACTTTGTACTTCGGATTTAAGGTGGCTAGAGAAAGAGAAAGAAACCGTCTCATGCGAACACAAGGATTTAAACATCGGCGGGGCTTTTGAAAAGTGCGTGAACTCCGTGTTTTGAAGGGGTTCAAAACGGAAGAAGAGACGGCTTTTTTCTGCTGAACAAGTAAGACATTTCAATAGTTCAATCGTGTAACAGTACGTTTTCTTAATTCACACAGTTATGGAGTTTCCTTTGTTGTGCCTTTCTCGTTTTGCTATTATGGAGAATATGAATTCTGAACCACAGGTAGCTGCTAACCATAAAACACATTAAATTTAACATTAGTCACGCAATGCTGATGTTGTTAACATGAACAATTTGAGAACAAAGTAGGCTATAATTTGCACGGTTGCTGTAAATCACGTTGATTAAATCTAACGAAGCTTATCATGTCGAATGCTTTTTCCCCCTTAGTTGGTCAGAACAAAAATGGATTTTACTTACTTGTTCAGAAGACATTTTCTTATGAAAATTCTTATGTTGGTCAAACTTTCAAAAAGTGAATCTGTGATTCTGTATGACAGTATCCACACAGCGCGGTGACTGACAGCACCACTCGCCTCAAAGCACTGTGTTCATCCGCGCTGTTTCATGCCGATTTACAACCCACGTAAAGATAATAATTCCGCGAATCACTGCAGTTACAGATTTCGAACAGAGAGATGGCGACAAAGAGGAAAAGATACGGACTGCAGCTTTAACTAAATGATTAAAGCTGCTGTAGGTAACTTTTGAAAAAATGTATTTGCTAAAACTGTCATTATGTCCTGACAGTAGAATATGAGACAGATAATCTGTGTAAAAATCAAGCTCCTCTGGCTCCTCCTAGTCGTCTTATTGCCATTTGCAAGAAAAAAAAAAGAAAAAAGAATATGGGTTTGAAATGACATGAGGGTGAGTAAAAGATGAGCGTCTTCTACGCTATTAGAAGAGGGTGACACCTTGTGGCCGTGAAGGGTGTAGATGAGCCTCCCCTCCAGCAGGTCCAAGATCTTCATTGTATTGTCACTCGAACCACTGATCAGATAGTTTCCGGATGGATGGAAGGAAAAGCCGTTGACCCCTGCGCTATGAACTGCAAGACAAAGTTAAATGCTTGAAAACAAGACCAGTCTTGTGACCAATTAAAAACAAATTAATTTTCATGATGTGAAACCATCTCCATTTATATTAACTACCTCTGTAATGTTGTATTAACTTGTTTGTACGAATATCCCAGATTTTTAATGTGTTGTCCGCTCCTGATGATGCAATGCATGTGCCACTGGAATTGAAGTCCACAAATGTCGCTGACCTAAACAGACAGTTTAAAATATCAGGAAACTTTGGTCTAATAAACATACAGTAGATTCAAAAAGGACCAACAACGCTCAACTCTCACCCGCCGTAGTCTGTGAAAACGTTTATGCACTGACGCGCGGATGTATCCCAGAGGCGAACCGTCCTGTCATCGCCACAGGAAGCAACGAGACGACCATCTGGTGAAAACCTGACAGGGACAGACAGGACAAGTGACAGTGAGAGAAATCCCACTTTATGTGACAAAACCGGAGAGGTTAGACACATACTCTCATACCTCGCACAGCGTACCCAGTTGGTGTGCCGGTTTAGAGAGTAGAGGAATTTCTTCCGTTCGACACCCCACACTTTCACAGACTTGTCATCTGAGGCCGTGACCAGCCTTTGGCCATCGCTGGAGAAATGAACGCTTCGAACGCTCGCTGTGTGTGCTTTGAATACAGTTGACTCGCCCTTTCTGTAACACACATAGACATGCTAGGTGTATATTACTTTCTTCTTACAGCCGAACACAATCAGAGTTATATTGAAAAATACCCTGGCTCTTCCCAGCTTTATAATGGGAGTGAATAGTAACTGAGATTTTAAAGCCCAAAAAAGTGCATCCATCCATCATAAAAGTAATCCATACGGCTCCAAGGGGTTAACAAAGGCCTTCTGAAGTGAAGCGGTGTTTTTGTAAGAAAAGTATCCATAATTATAACTTTATAAACCGCAATCAGCTCACTCAAGCTGCTCTGAGCCTCTGACATTTCTCTTTGTAATACTTCTGACTTGTGACCGGTGTTTTTCTTTTTGCTCTATCCTCTGCGCTTCCGCATTCGTCAAAACGTCGGGTCAGAGGTCCCTCTTCTGCCGGAACTTGACTCGCGTACGGCCGTTACCTGAAGCTAATGAATATAGTTTATAAAGTTATAAATACAGTAATCTTCAGAAGGCCTTTATTAACCCCCTGGAGCCGTATCGATTACTTTTATTATGGATGAATGCACTTTTTTAGGCTTAAAAAAAACAAGGTACCATTCACTCCCCTTATAAAGCTTGGAAGAGCCAGGATATTTTGTAATATAACTCCGATTGTGTTTGGCTGAAAGAAGAAAGTCATATACACCAAGGATGGCTTGAGGGCGAGTAAATTATGGGATAATTTTCATTTTTGGGTGAACTAACCCTTTAAAACTCGAAAGGGATCATCTGTACTCACATGCTGGGTGTCCAGAGTCGAACTGTCTGATCTCTGGATGAAGATGCCACCAAAGAACCGCTTGGAGAAAAATGAACACCTGTAATGACGTCCGTGTGACCCACAAACCTAAACGCCCTTGCTTTTGGAGCGAGGTTCCAGATCATAAGGTTCTTGTCACAGGATCCAGAAGCTGCAAGAGAAGTTGCAAGTGGTTATGTTGGGATGTTCTCTGACTGAAAATAGAAGATAAATAATAATGACATACCCAGCTGTTTATTATTGGGGCTGAAATCAGCACAGGATACAACATCTTTGTGACCTTTAAAATGTCTCTCAAGGGTGGGATCCTCCTGAAAAGGATATCATATTAGAATAAGGTGTAAAATGTTTATTTTCCAAAGTTTTTTCAATAAAACAATGTGAGTACATACATATTTCTTAAGTTATATATATATACACACACACATAATACAACATTCACATACATGGTGACAACACAATGGTTGTAAGTTACCACGGTACTATGTCTAAAACTATGCTAGTGAATCAAAAAATACACAACTGGTGTGCACATCCCAAACACCCAGATTGGGCGCAGGTGCAGGACAACTGAGTAATACAAATGAAAAAAAGAAGTGTGAAGTCCGCACACTGAAAAAGCTGCTCCAAAGAATTTATTAGCAAGGCAACGTTTCGACCATCAGGTCTTCATGCCTGATGAAGACCTGATGGTCGAAACGTTGCCTTGCTAAACGTTGCCTTGCTAATAAATTCTTTGGAGCAGCTTTTTCAGTGTGCGGACTTCACACTTCTTTTTTTCATAAAACTATGCTAGTTCCATAGTACTTTTTGTTTGCTAATTATATTGTTTTGTATTATATTGTGAAATTTGTCAATTTCGTCAAATATAACCAATATTAGTATCTCCATTCAAACATAAACACGAAACTTTCCAGCACATTTGCACAGAGCTAATTAAACCAGAAACTAAATAAAATGTCTACATTTGCACTTTAAAATGTTTCTGCTAAGTAGTCTTACCATTACAGACGCCATTGTTCTGGAAAACGTCGAGAAAGTTTTTGAATTTGGTGCAGTTTGTTCTTTGTTTTACAAGTAAACAAGTGAAACTCATTCATGTTGAGCCACTTCCCATCTGTCAAACAAGCCGCGTTTTCCCCAGACCAAACAAATCACGCTCCGAATCATCGAGTCAGCGGTACTAGATGAGCAATATGGACTTACAATCAAATTATTTAGATGTATGAATCGACTGACAAAATACTAATTCACACAGCTCTACATGCAGTCAATGGAAACCGCTAATGTAACGTTAACCCATCCTCTTAATGCAACAGAAGGCTTGCTGGGATTAAAACTAAAATGTGCAAGCTTGTTTTACAAAGATTATACTGTCTGTAGAATTAATTAGTTGCATATCCAAGCCAAACATTGTAAACAATTGTCTTCATAAAAAATAATAATTGAGGAATTACTGGTAAAATACATAGATCAGAAAAAGCATTTAATAAATTCTGCCGACGATGCTCTCTGTCACTGCACAGTTGAAAAAGCGTTGGAAATAACGCCGTTGCATAGCAACAACCCCAAACGGTAAAGCAGTAGAACTAACATTGAGGTTAAAAGAACTCCGTCACTGATTGGATAATCAATTCAACGGGCCAATCAGTGAAGACTTTGCTCAAAGAGGCAACGCTTTGAGTTTTGATTTTGGAAGCTAACGTTAGCCGCCGAAGCTCAGCTACTGGAAGATGTCGGTCAAGCGGGGGATTGGCGATTTAAAGGTCAGTGTTTTTATGTTTCTGCAAAGTGTCATTTGCAAAACGTATATTTTGAAAGCTAGCTCAGGTAATGTTTTACATGGGAAGCTGGGGTTTAAAAGGGAATCTGACACCGGCGCAGCTGCTCCTCCGTTGCCATACCTGTCTGACCATCAACACCATAGATCAACACCAGTTCACTGACTGATGCTTTCATGTTGTATTATTTTCTACCCGTGCTAATCAATAAATAAACCATTTATATACTAATGCCTGTTATTGGCGCTTACTTACAGTGGCTTTTATATTCACATTAAACTCAATGTTTGTTTCATACACATCATTTTCTCAGAATGTGACGAGCCACTGTCTGCCAGTGTTTAGCAAACGTTAAACAATTACATTGATCCCAAAAACAATTATTTCAGAATCGTTAGTTACACAATGAGAGTATGATTTATTGAAATTAATGCTTATTTTCCCCCAGTATTTAAAGAAGAGGATTCCACAGAACCCCAAATATCAACATGTAAAAACACGACTTGATACAGGTATCCACTTTTTGGTGGCTAGCATTTTGAATATTCATTGCATATATGACAAAATATGTAATGACTAACCCTGTTTATTTTCTAGGCTTCAGTCTGACAAAATATATGGAGAGACTAGAGGAGGCCAGGAAAAGTAAGTTCAGAATATTATAAATCCATATTATTGAAGAAACATTTTTTAATATCTCAAAATGTCATGGTGCATTTAATTCAGAAGGGTTATTCTAACTAATAGTTTTTTTTTACAACATCTAACAAATCGCAGACATTCAAGCACATCACAGTGGTCTACAAAACTAGTGTGTATTTACATTAAAAATATACAAAACAGTGCAGAATGGCACAGTAATGCATCTTTTGTGTACAGCTCCTTAATGACTTGTTTCAGCTGTTTTGTCTCCAAATGCACTTGTCCTACTTATATTTACTCACCTGATGAGGAGAGAAAGACTGCTTTGTCCATATTGGTCATCTTGTTACAAGTTCCCTCTGATTTCTCAAGGATAAGCAATTCTTGCTCCTTCTTTTGAATGCATGAGCAATGGATGGTTATTGTACTGTAGATTACAGTAATTCCTCTGTCAAGATTGTCTGTAGTGAAACCGAGATGCATAACCTCATCCAGTGGTGTCACTTGGAGTCTTACAGTGGGTTTGGTGGTGAGGCTGGACTTTGGAGTTCTTGCCAAAGATAAAAAGAGACGTTGGCAGAGCTCGTCTCAGTTTGTAGCAGCAATTGGCTTGTTAAAGTCAAGTTTAGTGAGTTTAATCTGTATCAAAATGGAGTTTGATATTTTGGGTGTGAATTTAAATGATGTGTCTTTAAATGAAGATGAAGTGAGAAATGGTAACACTCAGGATCCAGGTAAAATGCATCAGAAATGTTTTTATGCAGCAGCTCTGCATCATTTGAAAATGCATGTTTATTTTATATATTTTTTTCCAGACTACAGATATAGGAAGGATGAGCTATTTAAAAGACTTAAAGTGACTACATTTGCTCAGCTGGTAAGTGAAAAAGAAATTACATAAAGCATATGCTTTACTTTCAGTTTTAATACAGTAAACATATATTTTTTGAAATATTATTACAATTTAAAATGACTATTTTCTATTTTAATATAATTTAAATTGTAATTTATTCCTGTGATGGCAAATCTGAATTTTCAGCATCATTACTCCAGTCTTTAGTGTCACATGGTCCTTCAGAAACCATTCTAATATACTGATTTGCTTATCAAGAGACATTTCTTTGTATTATGATATTAACAATGTTGAAAAAAGTTGTGCTTCTTTGCAAGAGGAATTTCAAAAGAATAGCATTTATTTAAAATATTTTTTTATGATGACATAAATGTCTTTATTAACACTTATTAATTGTGTGTTTGTGTATATAATTGTTTATTTATTTTTTCAGGTAATCCAAGTTGCTTCTGTGTCAGATCAGAATGACAACATTAAAGATGAAATGCCTGGATTAGATGGTAGTTTCATTTCCCTTTTGTTACTCTTTTTTTATTTTTTTATTTTTATTATTATTATTCTCATTAGTAGTTTTTACTAACAATTATTATGATTATTACGAATGAACAGCCTAGCAACTGCATAGCAACATATTAACTACAACTCAGGACACACCATGGAGCCCCTAAGGGGACATGGTGATGGAAAACATGAAATGGCAATTGCAATTATATTGCAATGACTTTGTGTTTGCTTTCAAATCTTTTGCGCTCACCTGAGAAACATTGCGTTTGCTTGTTTCTTTTGCACGAGCCTGCAAAACTGCAGATGGAAACAATTTAAGTTGGGAGGAAAAATATTTAAACGCTTTTTTGAGCGAATGCTCAGGCCAACTCAGCAAACGCAAAGTTCCTTGAGGAATGCAAAATTTGTGCAAGCGAACGCTAAATTCCTCAAGGAACGCAAAAGTTGTGTGCACAAATGCTAAGTTCCTTGGGGAACACAAAATTTGTGCAAGTAAACGCAAAATTTCTTAATGGAATGCAAAATATTTGCAAGTAAATGCAAAGTTTCTTGGGGAAACAAAATAGCAAAAGTAGCGCAAGTGAATGGGAATTTTCTCAGGGAGTGCAAAAGTTTTGTGAGCTTTGCAAAGTAGTTTTTCCCTACTATCTCATGTTGTATGTCATAGATACTATCTCATAACAACGCCCTGACAACCGTTTTCCTTTTATTTTTATTTTTTGTATATGGTTTCAGATGATATTTCAATATTCTCAGCGTCACCGGGGCTCGATGGTCTCTCCGATCAGATTTATGGCTCCCCAGAGCCGACACTTCTTAACTCGCAGTGTATCAACAATGAGGAATCCGGCGACACTGGGTTTTCTCCTAGATCTACACTCCAAAGGTAGTCAAATCACTTTTGTGTTTGTGACACCCCTGTCCATGTCCTTAATTCAACCGGTCACATCAGACTATCATTTTATACATCTAATTGATCCCCCTCTAGCATTTCCTCTATTGTACACCCATAAGAGCTCTCATTGGCCAGGCTGCTTTCTCATGGCCCCTAGTGCCATTGAGTCTGTTTGGGGACAGTCGGTGCAATCGGACTCCGTCCTCAGAGACCCTGTGGGGGGGAACAATGAGATATAGCCTGTAACACTGAGCACCCCTGACTGTCCTCACTCGATGTAATCGAGAATCTCTGGGCTCATTCATAGTGTCATCAGTGGCGTGGGAGAACTGGATCTGGACAAGAACGGACAGAAGACCATCCGACTGTCTCCAGTGTCTACCTCCAACACCACAGAGTGCCCCTTACCTGACTGCCCGTATCTGTTGCTGGATGTGCGGGACAGAGACCAGTATGACCAGTGCCATATTATCAGTGGTAGGAAACTTACCTGGAAAACACAATTTTGCTCAAAGCATGAAATACATTAATATAATATTATTAAAAAACTTTTTTTTGCTCACAGCTTATAATTACCCCATAGCGACCTTATCAAGGACAATGAACCCATACACGAAAGAAGTCCTTGATTACGTATCCTTTCATTCCTGATATGTGAAAATGTTTGTTCTGTATTAAAATGTATTGCAAACCTATAGTGTGCATCTAATGCACAGAAGCACAATAAATTTATATTTTATTTATTGTACATGTATGAAATGCACTATAATATTTTTTTACTTTGAATAATTTTATTATTCATTCATTCATTCATTCATCGAAACTTTGATGTGCATCTATGAAATGCGCTATAATGTATAATACTTATAAGGGGGTCCTATGAATGAAGGAATAAGTCATTTTATTTCATTCATGAACAATAAATAAATAATTTAAAAAATATCAATTGTGCATTCATTCATAGGACCCCATGATACCATTGGAAAAAGTCACACTGTTTTTGTGCGATCAATAATTTCTGTCATTTCAAGTTCTTGCGTACTCGTGCCCATTCCTAGTTTTAAAATCTTTAACAGCTACACAGAAAAATGCGTCGGGAAAGATCATCATTTTGTATGATGAAGATGAGAGGATAGCAAGTCAAGCGGCCACCACCATGTGCGAGAGAGGGTTTGAGAATCTCTTCATGTTGTCGGGGGGTAAGTCATCGTGACGACTTCTTCCAGCTAGACTGGAGACTGATAACAAACCTCAAAGACTTCCATTAACATTTTTCTACATTACTTCTCATAGAAGGGAAAATAAGAAGTTCCTTATAAAATTAATATCGTTATACCTAGATCATTGGGGTCTCAATTATCTCCAAAGAATACACGTGGGTTAATCCTGCCAGTATTTCAGTATTCATCTTTTCCTTTCTCAACAAGGTTTAAAAGTGGTTTATCAGAAGTTCCCTGAAGGAATGACTACAGGCTCCATTCCCATCTCCTGTCTGCCATCACCCACGGGACCTGGAGGTCGTAAGCGATCTATGCCACAGCAGACGTCACAGGCAGCAGAAAAAAAGTGGCGGTTCACCTCAGAGGACCTCAGCAGAATCCAGCATCACCTAGAGGAGGTGTTCATACCCAGCGAGCCTGGCAGTGAGTCATCCATTTCAAAAATTATGAAATTAATTAACCATTTTTACTGACCAAAAAAAAAAAAAATCATCAATTACTCACCCTCATGTCGTTTTTATTTTATTCTGTGAGCCACATTTACAAATACTAATATATTACTATTTCCCCCCCCCACACACACACACACACATTGTAGGTCGTCTCAGCAGTAGATTGTCCACTAGCAGCGCTGGCTCCAAAGCGTCTACAGTTCGGAGCAGTCGACAGGGCTCATCCATAGCAGGATCAGAAAGCGCTCGTTCACGGAGCAGTCGGCCTTGGAAATAACCTTCCGTTTCACTCTCACCATTGTCGTCTTCACTTCAATGCAAATAAAGCCTTTATATTTTACTTTTGCAGGATTCCTGTGAACATCTGTGATGGACACTCTAAACTACTGGCCACATGCACATGGTTTAATTCTCAGAAGTACACTGGAAGAAATTGAACATTTTATTGGTCCTGGTAGTACACCCAAATAGCACTGTTTTATTATTTCAGTTTATACACATATCTTTGCACTTGCTGACTCCAAATCTAAACTACATGTTTCAAATCTGATTTGCGCAGTCATCAACTTGTTGGCATCAAGAACCATTTATACTATAATGATGGTACAAGATGTCTATGGTTTGACATCTAGCTGTTTTAATGCATATGTAGGGTTCTTCTCTGTTACATAAGTAAGCAGGTCTTAGTGGAAGGACTCCACCTCTTGGTGGTCATTTTATTTGCTTTATTTGTGCTATGACATGATCTGTTCATTGAGCATGCTGTATGTTTACTTGCTCAGTAGACACAGTATGTATGGCGCATTCCTTTAGAAGTATTTTAGATGTGCTGGATGTTTTTTATGCCTTAAATCTATAGCTAATCTGTTCGTTCAGTGCATTTATTTAAACGATTGATGCTTTCTGAACCAGTGTGGAAGATTTCCCTTCATCTGCATCTGCTCAACTATGATTTGAATATTATGAAATGTAGATGTGATTACTGGCATTAATGAAGTTGATGTTGCTGTGTGAAACTTTGCTTTGTCTGTTGCAGCGTGATGAAGGAACTTAAAGTGCATTTACATGGAGTACATGGAGTGGTAGAAAGAGCTTTGACTGGTTTGTTTGGCCTTTGTTGTCTGTGCTGATTGACTGAAAACAGTTAACCTGTTCTTTCACAGACCTTGTTTTATTGACCAATTAATAATTTAATGTAATCTATATAATGAAAACTACCTGGTTTGTTCTTTTGTAATGAAAGTATGAATAAAGATCAATTTTATATTGTAGACCTAAGTGGTACCTACCTTAATATTACTGTGATATTGCAGTGTGTGTCTTGTTGCTAAGCTGTATATTTTGTACATTGTAACAGACTATTATACAGTGGCCTAATATTTTCTAATATTCACTGTCGTCCTTGGCTTGCAACGCTGTATATCAGACCTCTTTTAACTAACCGGCGCAACTATGGCAAGCTGCTTTGACTTTTAATCATTCCTAGGATATGAATTTCTGATATCAAGAATTAAATTATCAGTAGTTAAAATTATCATTCTTGACATCATGTCAAGTTTTACTTGGAACAATTGCTAAAATCAGGAATTACATTTCCAATAATAAAAACATGAATTCTTGATTAATCAATGACGTCATCACTCAATTCTTGACATCAAAAGATTTCTTAGAAATAAGATTAAAACACTTTCCACTCAAATCAATATTTCACGTCTATAGCTTTATTAATTTGTCAAGAAGCAATTTAATAAGATGAATAATCTACAATCTGATAGTCATTGTCGTGAAATAAACCCCTTTTTGTCATAATGACCAGCTGACTGTACATTATTCCTTACTTCATGCGTACACTTACAAACTTATGCACTTTGACTCATCACAAAAGTATTGTTGTATGTTTAATATGGGTTATTCTTGGTGTGCTCCATGATAGTCATCAGGGCCAGCCAGGTCTCCTCAGCAGTCGGGACGATCTGATTGGCTGGCAGGATGAAACCATAGCGACCAGTGTCTCTCAGCTCAAAGGTGTAGGAGTACTTGATGCCCTGATTGTAAGTCCAGTCAGTAGTGACTCCATCGGCTTGGTCTGAGAGCAAAGAGATTGTTAGCAATGAGATTAATATTCATTATGATATTAGATTAGAGCTTTAGGTTCACTGGAAATGTACTTACAGATGGTAGTAATCATGCTGCCAAATGTATATGCAGTGTTATACAAAGACTTAAGTTCGGTGATGGCCTTTCTCGCGAGGTCATGCTGAAGGGACAATGCAGAATTGATTTGAACAGATCGAATATGTTAAAAGCATCGAAATCAGCATGTTTCTGTGACATATACCAGTTCAGCCTGGTCTTTGGCAGGAGTTGCTGTGTATCCATGTGGATACAGGAGCATCTGGGAATAGCTGTGAATGGACAAAAAGGCCTTGAGGTTGCCGTGAGATTTTACAAAGTCCACAATGGCTTTGATTTCTGGCTCAGAATGAGCACTGGGTCCATGGTAGGTCTGAGAACACGGGTTACTGCTGGCACCAGGACCTATAGACGAAAAACAGTATACTGTATAGTATAATATAGTTGAAACAGTAGTATAAATAGTATAAACAGTAAATACAGTTGTATACATAAATCAATCAGAATCAATATCCCAAACTTAATGCTACATCTCACCACCAAAGCCAGTGTCCCAGTTTCTGTTGGGATCAACTCCAACACAGCTGGAGCCAGGGTTCGGCTTTCTGGTTTTACGCCACATGCGGTCCTTAAACAACCAACCAATTGGATTCCACAAGAAAGAGGGCAAATTTCATTAAAATAATTGTTCTGTTAAGCCGAATGTGCATGTAATGTCTTCCATGCATCAAACTTACGCTACTGTGGGTGTAGGCGAAACCATCAGGGTTGGTTAAGATCTCCAAGAAGATATCATAGTTGTTAAGGATGTCGGTGAGGATAGGGTCACGTCCGTAGTCAGTCACGATCTGCTCAACAAAAAATACATGGGTATAAATCTTTGATTCAGTTATGTTGTCAGATTGTATTTCAGAATTTCAGATGACCTTCTTGGCAAACCAGATTCCGCTGGCCTGGGTGACCCATTCTCTGGAGTGGATGCCAGTGTCAATCCAGATACCTGGACGGTTCGCTCCAGTGCTGAACTGAGTGACAGGATATTAGTCATAATGAACAAATGGAAATATCATTTATCCTGACATTTATATTACTTACGCTGCATGCATCCCAATTAATAAAAATGTACATTATACACCACATTGAAAATTGTAAAGCATGCATTTTTCTGCAAGTAGAATAGCAGTGAAACAAAATTGCATCTTGATACCACCTTATTAGCATCTAGCTAAAATTATTATACTAAAAATCATTACTGGAATCATAGTATTATCATAGATTGTGTGCAATATCTCACCTGAGATTTGGTATTTTGCAAGGTTACTATTACCAGCATGATTTGGGACACACTAATCTTGCATATAGATATACGCAAATCTCTATTAAATCCTGCTATATGTAATAATTAAAGTTTCCTAATAGTATAGCATAAAGAATATCATAAGATTGTTATTGATTGTGAATCGTGACCAACCTTCAGGACGTTCAAGGGGCGGCTCTCATAGCTCTGACCAATCACAATTTTGCTGACCAGATTACTGTTTTCTGCCACAAGCATGTCCATGAAAGAGTAAATCTGCAAACAGTATGGTGAAGATCAAATGCATGGATGTAAGTAAAGCTATAGGTTCTGTAGGCTTATACACAAAAAAATGTAACTGAAGTCATAAACAAATTTGATACAAGCAATTTTAAAGTACAATAAAACATCATAGTTTCTTTGAAAAGGCTGATGTTAAAAGTTCAATGTCTTGTAAAGTTATTGAATTAAAGTTGCACCACTCACAGAGTTCAGGTCATGGTAGGTGGTGTAGACAAAATCATCGGTACTTCTCGGGAAGGCGCGAAATTTCACCATCTCGCGTTCCTCATCATCCAGCAAATCCTTATGTTACAGAAAGCCATCAAATAAGTAAGGATTTTTCAGCTTTTTGTTTGTTTGTTTTCGATCACAGCTTTGAAATAGTCCCACCTGAACATCCTCAATCATGACATTATACTGGATCTGATTGTATGCCAGGAACGCCCTGACAGCCTGGAGGCTGTGAAAGGGGACATGAACATCCACAGGCAGGGACTCATGAACGGGCTCCATCCAGAAGTCCAGCTGAACACAGAAGAAAATATAGCGTAATAAAGTAATTTATATTACATTAAAATATGAGTATAATATAAACTATATAATAGTAATAATTAATTATTACATTGTGCTGTCAAACCGATTAATCACATCTAACAAAAGTTTGTAAATATATAATATATGTGTGTGTGTGTGTGTGTGTGTGTGTGTATATACAGTATACACATCACCTTTATCCCAAAAAATCTAAATGATCTGGGACGATCACACACACTTACCCCGAGTGTCTGTTCAGGGAGTTCCTTCAGGAGAGAAATCTGCTCTGCATCTTTTGCAGTGATCCGAAGAACCTGGTCTCTGTAGAAACATTTATACAATTTCTTTAGCTTCAATATTCAGAATAACGAGTATAGTATTTTGCATGTTTTAGATAAATAGAACAGAAACTGGCACATAAGGAAGTCACTGTTTGTTTCTCTGTATTTCAGCTGTCGGTATATCATAGGACAATATGTTAACACATGTTTATTTAGCTGGGAATTTGAATGCATAAAGTAAGGGATAGACTTGGAGACACAAGAGAACTCACCCCTCAAAAGTCACTTTGCCAAATACGGCCACAAAAAGAGCCGTTAGAACCAGTAACCCCTTCATCTTGCTGCTTGAAGTAGAGTTTCTCATAGTAACCCCTTTATATAGGCCTACTATCATGGTGGTGATTATGACTGGATTCGAGGAACAGGGTCAGGGCTCAAACAAACCTGCTGCTTTGGTTCTCACAACCTTATAAAACACTGATGGAGTTTAAAGGGATGAGAACATTGCATCTGTTTCCTCTCCTGTTTCTTAATAATATAGCAACTTAGGGTTTATTGACAAGTAACCAAGTTGCTGTACTTATTTCAAGTCCATGGTTCACTGTCAAATGAGGAGGTAAACTGGAAATTCAGATTATAGTTATTACAGTTAATATTTTTTGATAATGTTCATGTGTTATTAATCCTTTTATGCAAACCTACTCATTTGTTTTCTGTGATGTCTTTTACGTTGTTTTGCGAATATTGCTGATGTAATATTTTGTAGAAATGACGAGAGTGAAGTGATCCTTTTGTCTTTTGTCCTTCAGTCAGAATGGGTTTGAAATCATAAACAAATAAGTAACCCCCGTTCCCTGACAACAACTGACGAATTGGTATCTCATCTGAGAGCCCAATCACCTTCAAGTGGTAACAGAACAAGCCAATGCACATTGGCGAGTGAGATTTGCATCACAAGTCACTCCCTGCTTCTGTGTATATAAGGCAGCATGCAAAGTCTCACATTAAGTTTTCCGCTGAGGAGCCGAGACATTGTCCCGGTCGTACCAGCAGAGGTACCGGAGTTGTGGCGACAAGATGTAATGTCCTTCTCTAAACAAGGGTTACATTAGTAACCTAGACGTTCCCTATCAGTCAGTCACGTTCGACATCACATCAGAATGACTGGCGATTTGCCCTTCCAGCACCCAGAGTAAGCCGCTTGGTCTCCCCGCACCTGTTGAGGCAGAAGAAAGGACATGGCTTTGCACGGAAAATGTCAATCACTGATGTTCCATTTAACCCCGTACAGTGAAATTATTGGATAACACTAGGAAAGCGGGCCTATTCCAACTGGAAAGGGACGCTATGGAGACCACATCCTACCCGTATAGGGGGGTAACACGCATGGGCTGGCCAACAGGGCAGTGCTACAAATGGAAGATCTCTGTGGTAGATCCCGAGTCTCTGAGTCAATACCGTTACAGAGATGGCAGAGGACTCTGCCAAGGGAAAGACACGGGCTCGCCAACTGGGAAGCTGTACAGTACGTGGAAGAATACACATATGGGATCACCTAAAGGGGAATCACAACATATGGGCATGTAGTCTAGTACAGGGTCTGACCAACCAAGCATACACACAAGTACTAGACTTGACGTCAGATGCATCTGCCGCATCTGACTGCTGATGATGCTGGAGGAACTCCCCCAGGGTTCACCAGCCGGGGAACTCACCTGAGGAGCAGAATAGGAGCTCATGTCCCACCCTCAGAGGGGAAAGGCGCAGCAGCAAGCGAGACACCGAGTTAAACTTCTCTCATATTACCTGTTTGTACCCAACACACGGGAAGACACCGACTCCACTCGGAGATTGTAGAATCTCGTGAATGTGTTAGGTGTCGCCCAGCCTGCAGCTCAACATTTGTCTGCCAGAGAGGCGTCATGCTCCAAGACCAAGGAGGAAGCAACACTCCGAGTTGAGTGAGATCTCACCCGAGGGGGCACAGCTCGTCTTGTGATTGGTACGCCAAGACGATGACATCCACTATCAAGTGGGCCAACCACTGTTTGGAGACAGCCTTTCCCTTTTACTGGCCACCATAGCAGTCAAAGAGCTGTTCTGAGGTTCTGAAGCTCTGCGTGCGGTCCACGTACAAGCGCAAGGCGCGAACAGGACACAGCAAAGCAAAAGAGTCTGCCTCCTCCAGGGGCAGCATTTGCAAGTTCACCACCTGGTCCCTGAAAGGAGTGGGAACTTTGGGCATG